TTTTGTATCGTTTTGAAGCTTTTATTGTACCTTAAACACGTACATTGACTTCTTATACTAACGACCGACCAAACACACACGCACGGTCATAACAACTCTCACATTGATGACGTCACATCTTTCCTTCTTTTTTTTGAAAGATTATTACAATAATAAGAAACTCAACTAATGTTCTGATTAAAGTTCAGTGTTCATTTGACCCCGTTGGCCAAATAGTCCTTTAGGTATGCTGGTGCACATCTGATGCGGGTGGATCTTCTCAACGAAGACTGCTCTGCTTCTTTGCTGGTACTTGGTGGCGATAGACTCGGAAACATCGTTTCTTGGTTGCTGTTGGTAGATCGTATGTGTCGGCGATTTCGACAGTATACGATTCCAGCGTCTGTTTCGACTTCGTAGGATCGAGGGGCAACTTTCCTTTTTACTTCTGCCGTAGTCCATCTCTTGTCTTTCTCGTTAGGTCTTAAAGCTACTTTTACGAGTTCTCCTTTCTTCAATGTAGGAAGTTCTTTTGTGTACATGTTGTAGTACTTAAAACTTTTGATTCGTCTGGATTTCTTCCTCTCGGCTACTTCTACAACTTTAGGAGTTAAAAGTTCTCTAGAAGTTGGCATTGTTGTTCTCGTGTCTTGAGAACAATCTTTGAGCAGGTGAACTGTTGAGACTTTCAGAGGGCGTGTTGCGCCAATCAAGGAGTGATTACTTGGCTTGTTTTCTTGCTCAGCAGGTCTATTTCAAAGTAATCAGAATAATAGTCTACAGTACAGAGGTAGTCCTTACCATTGTGAGTGAAGATATCAGTGGCAATTTTCTCCCATGGACGGCTTGGTTGCTCATGGTGGATCAATGGTTCTCTGGCTTGTGCTTTCTGTTGTGATGCGCATATGTCGCATTTGGATATGTAGTCGCTGAGATCCTTATTCATCCCAGGCCAATAGACTAGTTCTCTTGCTCTGCGCAAGCAACTTTGTATTCCYGTGTGGCTTGAGTGGATCTTTGTCTTTATCTTTGTTCTCAAACCAGCTGGTATCACGCATCTTTGTCCTTTAAGTACGACTCCATCGAGTGTTGTCAGTTCATCACGTATGTCGTAATATGGATGTAATTCTTTAGGTAATTTGGCTTTCACTTCAGGCCATCCGTTATGGATTGTGTTGATCAGCTGTTGAAGTGTTGAATGACAGCTTGTTTCGTTTTGGATTTCTTGAAGCTGAGTCTCAGATATGGCTAAAAACTGAACTGTATGAATGTGCTCTGTTTCTTCTTCTGCCTGTGATCTCGTACGTGGTGCTGGAGGGTGCACACGTGACAACGTGTCTGCGATATACATCTCTTCGCCTTTTAGATATTCTATTGTGACATCGTACTGTTGTAGACGCAATAGTAGTCGTTGCAAACGCTTGGGTGCGGTGATTAAAGGCTTCTTGTAAATCGCAACTAGTGGCTTGTGATCCGTAATGAGCTTAATTGGTCTGCCGTATGCGTATTGATGATTGTGTTCCAAACCATAGACTAGTGACAACAGTTCTTTCTCGATCAGAGCGTAATTTCTTTCTGCAGTGGTGAGCGCTCGACTTGAAAATGTCACTGGCTGGCCATTCTGCATTAACGTGAATCCTAGCCCTGTAGATGATGCATCGCCTTGACCCTCAAGTGGTTCTGTGGAATTGTAATACCTGAGTACTGAGGCTTGAGATACCATCCGTTTGATACTTTGGAACGACTCATCGTGCTCTCTTTGCCATTGAAATGGAACACCTTTGTGCGTYAACCTTCTTAGGGGTTCAGATACTGAGGACAGGTCTTTAAGGAATTTCGATAGGTACTTGACCATACCAATGAGTCTTCTGACAGCTTCAACAACTTCGGGTCTTTTGATATTTGTAATCGCATTTACTTTCGATGGATCTGGCTTTAGACCGTCTTTAGTTAGCAAGTGACCAATGAATGAGACAGCGTCAGTCTTGTAGACGAACTTCTTTTGGTTGAGTTTGATGTTTMTGCTTMGACATCTTTCTAGTACTCTACGTAGGTTTTCGTCATGATCCTTATTTGGGTCGTCACCTTGACCGATTACTAAAATGTCGTCTGCGATCTTGAATGTTCCTTTCAATCCTTCTAGGTTTTGATCGAGCTTCTGCTGGAAGTRTTCAGGGGCTGGCGTTATTCCAAAAGGCATTCGTAGCCATCTATAACGTCCCCAAGGTGTCTGAAAGGTAGTCAATTCACTGGACTCTTCGTCAAGCTCCACTTGAAGAAAGCCATCTTTTAAGTCGAGTTTAGTGAAAACTTTGGCCTCGGATAGCTCTGGAAGTATTTCTTCAATAACAGGTAACGGATAATGAGAACGCTTTAAGGCTTTATTCAAATGAAGTGGGTCGATGCAAACTCTAACACGCCCGTCGGTTTTCTCATTTACAACGAGGCTAGACACCCAGTCTGTTGGCTTGTCTTGCTTGGCTAAGCCCTCGAGACGCTTTAGCTCATCTTTCTGCTTGTCTTTCCTCGACACTGGAACTCTCCTTGGCGGCATTACGACTGGTTGGACGKATGGGTCTTTTTCCAARTGTAGTTTTCCTTCCATYTTTCCCAGACCCTCGAATACATCATGGTACTCAGCCAATACCTCCTCTCTTGAGCTGGKTGTGGCTTTAGAAGTAACCTCTAAGATGTTATGSCTTTGTACTACTATAAGYTCCATCTTTTGGGCTGCACTTGCTCCGATGATAGGRGTGTAGTCTCCATCGACGATGACGAATTCTGCTCRATACTTTTTGTTGTTCTTTGCATTGCGAAAACTAATGTTAGCGACACCAATGGCTTGTAATTTATTCTTACAATAGGATACGAGTTCCTTTCTGGTTTCAACAATAGAGGYAGTGGTGGGTACGAGTTTCTGTGGTAGTATATTGCATGTAGCACCTGAATCAATCTGCATCTTAACGGGTTTGTTTTCAATTAGCATCGTGGCAAAAAGCTTTTGACTGTCACGCACTTTGTTTCCTTGCGTTTCTTTAAGTGCTTCTTCTTCGGAACTGTCGCTTTGCAAATCATGTACGTTATGCGAACGCGTTGGCTTTTGTGTGCTTTTTTGAGGATTACAGCACTTCGCAAAATGATTTTTCTTTTTGCATTTTGTGCAATTCTTACCCAAGGCAGGGCATTTGTTTCTGTCACGTTCATGATTCTTGCCACAACTAAATATGCAGTCAACACACACTTTCTGTCGGAGCGGCGCTTTTGATGTCTGCCTTCGTTCACTTTGTTTATGTTCTACTCTATGAACTTTTTCGCTACCTGCGATTTCTTTGACTTGAGATTTTGAAATTTCGGCGGCTTTTACGATACTGATACATTTTTCTAGATCAAGCTTATTCTCTTGCAGTAGTCTAGCTCGGATGCTATCGCTTCTAATGCCACAGACAATTTTATCTCTTATCATCTCGTCGTTTAGAGCTCCAAACTCACATGTGTTTGCTAGTGATCTCAATGCTGTTATGTATTGTTCAATGGTTTCATGCTCTTTCTGTGCTCTATCATTGAACTTGTATCTTTCCGTAAATTACATTGATTTTACCTACACAGTGTTCTTCCCACAGTTTGAGAACTGTGTCGATGTCATCTCTCTCAGCATCACTCTTGAAGGGAAGGCGATTATGTGTGTCTAGAGCCGATGGACCAACGCATGTAATGAACGTTGCGACTCTATAACTGCTTTCTCTACTCCTGAGATCTGTAAAGGTTTCGTAGGCTGTCCATACCTGTTTCCACTTCTTCCAATTGTGTGCTAGATTGCCTTCCATCTCGAGTGGATGTGGCAGCGGTAGCCTCCTCCGCAGGCATCACAAAGAATCACGGGCTTCCTGTCTTTTTGAGGAGTCAAAAGAGGGAGAATGGGGGCGAGACAAGGGGAGCGTGCTATCTCGTCACTATTCTCTAAGGGCCAAAATGACCGTTACAAAGGAAGCCCAAAGGAGGAAAAAAGAGTTGCCTGTGGAGGAGGCTATGGCAGCGGAACATTCGAAGTCAACACTCTCGATTCAACAACGTCGTGCTTGCTTGACTCTCCACTTGAAGAGGATCCTGCAGCTGTTTTCTTCTTTTTGTCCGGCATTTCTGACACCATGTATCGTTTTGAAGCTTTTATTGTACCTTAAACACGTACATTGACTTCTTATACTAACGACCGACCAAACACACACGCACGGTCATAACAACTCTCACATTGATGACGTCACAGTCACATATATATATTATTTTTAAAATTCATTGGTAGGTTTTTCGGATTGTTTTTAATATCATTGCATTATTTTCAAAACGTCTTGAAATCTGGTCTCTTTTCGTCGAATTTGACACTTCATACGGACTGTGAGGATACGCTTGAATGATCACGGACTTTTTGCCACCCTTAAGTTTGATATGAGGACAAAAATGATTATGGACACAACAATTTCTGGGATCGTGCATGGCTATTATATATATATATCATTTTGTAATTATTTTGTATGAAGTTTGAAAGCTGTAATAGACTACTCTCCACGTTGCGCATGCGTTAAGTTGGATCCAATAATCTCTTAAGACGATATTGAGGATCAATTTGCCAATGACATTGTTTTTGAGTGGATAATAT